GTTAAACTATTCCTTGCTCTCCCAGTTTGCTTATAATATCAGCCTTTATATCTAAATCATGAACCCATTTTGGCTTTTTTTTTGGCATATGTTGTGAGATTTTAGCCTATGCCTAGTTTCTGCCATACTCTTTTCCAGTTTTCTCAGAAGTTTTTTGTCAAATAGTGAGTTCTTATCCCAGAAGCTGGAGTTTTTGGGTTTATCAAATAAGATTACTGTAGTCATTGACTAGTGTGTCTTGCATACCTAACCTATTCCACTGATCCACCACTCTGTTTCTTAGCCAGTACCAAGTGATTTTGATGACTGTTGCTTAATAATACATTTTAAGATCTGGAATGGCTAAGTCACCTTCCCCTGCCTTTCTTTTCATTAGTTCCCTTGATATTCTGCAATGTAAGTTATTCCAAATGAATCTGGTTATTATTTTTTTCTAGCTCCATAAAATAAATTTTGGTAGTTTGATTGGCATGGAATTGAAAAAGTAAATTAGCTTAGATAGAATTGTCATTTTTATTATATTAGCTTGACCTACCCATGAGGAACTGATGTTTTTCCAATTATTTAGATCTGACTTTATTTGTGGGAGAAGTGTTTGGAGCAGAGCCAAGATGGCAGAGAGAAAGCGGTGACTTTCTTGAGCTCTCCCCCAAACCCCTCCAAATACCTATAAAAAATGACTCTAAACAAATTCTAAAGCAGCAGAATGCACAAAAAGACAGAGTGAAACAAATTTCTAGTCCAAGACAGCCTGGATGGTTGAGTGGAAAGGTATATAGCACCGGGAGGGGAGAGAAGCACAGTTGGGCATGGACAGCATGGGTACGCAGGCCGCAGCAAACCTGGAGCAGGCCTCAGTGGACTGAATGGCTGGCAGCTGTGGGGATTTCTAGACTTCTCAACTTATGAATGCCAAACACAACTTGGAAGATCAGTGGGAATAGTCTGTGACTGCGGTGAGAGAGAGGGTAGGTCTCAGCCATAAATCTTGAGCATGGCCCAGGGCAGGGGCTGCTTCCTGAGCTTCTGGCCCACAGACTGAAGGGGAATTGAGTGACTGATTAGAGGGGGATTGCAGGGATCTCTTTTCCAGCGCTGAGGCAGGAATCTCTTGTTTGCCTGTGCTTAGATCTGGGTCACAGTTCTGAGGGGCAGTCCTGGGGTGAGGAGGAGTGCTGGTGTGATGGAGCTTGTTGTGGCAGTGGAGAGGAAACACCTCGTCCCTTATCATAGCACCTTAGCAGAACTGAAAATTTACAGGTCCCTAGAAGTATCTCTAAAAAGAGCTGTACAACCCGAAGCTTGGGACAATACATTCTCCACATTGGAAGCAGACTCTTACCTTGCAAAGAGTTTAAAACTCAAGTAGTTGGCTAGGATCATGAGCAAACCTCACAAAAAGAGTCAGACTATATTATCTTACTTTGGTGACAAACAAGATTAAAACATACAACCAGAAGAAGACAACAAAGTCAAAGCTCCTACATCCAAAGCCTCCAAGAAAAATATGAATCAGTTCCAAGCATTAGAACAGCTCAAAAGGGATATTGAGAAGCAAATAAGAGAAGTAGTGGAAAAACTGGGAAGAGAAATGAGAGTGATGCAAGAAAATCATGAAAAATAAGTCAACAGCTTGCTAAAGGAGACCCAAAAAATTACTGAAGAAAATAACACCTTAAAAAACAGCCTAACCCAAATGGTGAAAGAGGTCCAAAAAGTAGAAGAGTAGAAGAATGCCCTAAACAGCAAAACTGGTCAAATGGAAAAGGAAGTCCAAAAGATTACTGAAGAAAATACTTCCTTAAAAATTAGAATAGAGCAATTGGAAGCTAGTGATTTTATGAGAAATTAAGACACTGTAAAACAAATTCAAAAGAATTAAAAATTAAGAAACAATGTGAAATATCTCATTGCAAAACAACTGACCTGGAAAATAGATCCAGGAGAGAGAATTTAAAAATTATTGAAATATGTGAAAGCCATGATCAAAAAAAGAGCCTAGACATCATCTTTCAAGAAATGATCAAGGAAATCTGCCCTGATATTTTAGAACCAGAGGACAAAAAAGAAATTGAAAGAATCTACCAATCTCCTCCTGAAAGAGATACCTGAAGGAAAACTGCTAGGAATATTGTAGCCAAATTCCAGAGTTCCCAGGTCAAGGAGAAAATATTATAGGCAGACAGAAAGAAACAATTTAAGTATTGTGGAAACACAATCAGGATAGCACAAGATTTAGCAGCTTCCACATTAAGGGGCCACAGGGCATGGAATATAGTATTCTGGAGGGCAAAGGAGATAGGATTAAAACCAAGAATCACCTACCCAGCAAAACTGAGTATAATCTTTCAGGGGCAAAAATGGGCATTCAGTGAAATAGGGGACTTTCAAGCATTTTTGATGAGAAGACCAGAGCTGAACAGAAAATTTGACTTTCCAATACAAGATTCAAGTGGAACATGAAGAGGTAAACAGGAAAGAGAAATCATAAGAGACTTATTAAGGTTGAACTGTTTACATTCCTGCATGGAAAGATAATATTTGTAACTCATGAGACCTTTGTCAGTATTAAGGTAGTTGGAGGGAAAAAATTACATATATATATATATATATACACACACAAACACACACACATATATATGTAGATAGATAGATAGATAGATAAAGGGCACAGGGTGAGTTGAAGATGAAGGTGTCATATCTAGAGAATAAAATTAAGGGTTCAGAGAGGATTATACTAGGAGAAGGAGAAAGGGAGAGGTAGAATGGGGTAAATTATCTCACAAAAAAAAAAACAGAAAGGAAAAGGCTCTTACAGTGGAGGGGAACCAGGGGAAGGTGAGAGGAAATGAATGAATCTTATTTTCATAGGATTTGACTTAAGGAGGGTATAACATACACATTCAATTGGGTATGGAAATCTGTCTTACCCTACAGGAAAATAGAGGGGGACAAGAGAGTAGGGGGATGATAGAGAGGAGGGCAGATTGTGAAAGGGAGTAATCAGAAGCAAACACTTGTGAGGATGGACAGGGTCAAAAGAAAGAATAGAATAAATGGGGGGCAGGATAGGATTAAGGGAAATAGAATTTGTTTTTCACAGCATGTCTACTATGGAAGCATTTTGCATAACTGCACATGTATAACCTATATTGAGTTGCTTGCCTTTTCAATGAGGGTGGGTGGGGAGGGAGGAAGGGAGAATATTTGAAACCCAAAGTTTTAAAAACACATGTTTAAAAAAAATGTTTTCACATGCAACTGGGAAATAAGAAATACAGGAAATGGGGTACAGATCTATCCTGCCCTACAGGAAAATAGAAGGAGAAGGGGATAAAAGAAGCGGGGCAGAGATAGCAGGGAAAGCAGACTGGGGAAGGGGTATTCAGAATGCATGCCATCTTGGGATGGGGGGAGGGGAGAGATGGGGTGAAATGTTGAAAACAAAAAATAAATAACTATATTGATGAATAAAAAAATTCAGTATTAAAAAAAAAGAAAAGTGTTTGGAAGGAGGCCCTGGCACACAAAACCATTGACCAGCTCCTGGGCTCCCAGAACAACATGCTTGCGTCAGTGCCACCTGCTTCCCAGCAGGAGAGCTCAATTTTTTTTTAAAAGCCAGGAAATAAGCAAACACCATGAGCAAAAAGAAACACATCATAGATTCTTATTATGGGGACAGTGAAGATCAAGTCTGAAGTTCTGAAGAGGACATTATTGTCAACAAACCCACAACTGAAACCTCAAAAGGAAATATGAATTGGTCTGAAGTCCTAAAAGCCTTGGAATAGCTTAGGAAGGATTTTAAAAGTCAAATAAGAGAGGTAGAAGAAAAATTGGGAAAAGAAATGAGAGGTATGCAAGAGAGAGTCAATAGCTTGGAAAAGGAAGGACAAAAATTAAAAACAAAAACAAAAACAAGGCATCTCCTCCACCATACTGGGTTTGGTCACCATAAAAAATTAAGGGTGGATATCTTCTAATTAGCTTCCTACAATTAATCAAATGAACATACAATCTACAAGTCATACCTTGGTTGGCCTAAAATATAGAATTTATGATCACTACCCCTTGTGGAGTCTAATCCAATTGATTTATGTTGATTACAATGGAGTAGGGCTCCAAATGAATTATTTCTCACATCTACTCAGAATCCTATCCTCTCTCCTCCCTCCCTCTTAGACTTTCTATTCCATTATATACTCAATTCTAAAATCTCCTGTGGTACATGGCTTTTCTCCTTTCCCCTAGTGGCTTGTGCCTCTGCTTCTGACATCTTCCCCCATCAACATTCCATGTTTATGGCAGGTGACTTTTTTTTTTAATGCTCTCCCTGGCCTTAACACTTCAAAGCTACTTGAGGACAGGGAATCTCTTGGCATTGCTTTGTATTCCTAATATCAGCACAGTGGCTCTCACAGTGCAAACTTTGCGGAGGTGTTTTGTTTCTGTAATGATTGTTGGAAGAATGGATTACACAAAGCAATCCTCTACCACAATTTCAACTCCACTCTGAAATTTCTGTGAACTATTCTGTCACTTGAATTGCAAGAAGCATTGATTTAGAGAAATAGGATTCCATTGACCAGACAAAGAATCAGAAGGCAAGGGAAGGTAGTATGATGGAAGGAGAACAATGCCATTGGGGAAAGGAATGCCATGAAACCTGGGTAAAGCCTCAGCCACATTAGTCACATAGGTTTTGGCAACATGATAATCATTTTTCATTACAGCAATCAGATAATGGCTGAGCCTTCTCAGAGGAACCACAAATGGAAAAACAAAACTGAGCTGGAAGAATTGTTGTCAGGGACCAAACAATGACAAGAATGGGATTTTGTCCGGGAATTTGGTTAATGGAAGTTATGCAATTCTGGTTGTGCATCTGCCACACCTCTTTCCTGCTGGAAGAATATAAAAGTCCCTGTGAAAGTAGTGCCATATATACTCACATAACCTAAACTTTACATCCATTCAACTAAGTGAATCCTGACACAATGTGCTACTATGGCAGCTACTATGGGGGCCTGGGCTATGGCTATGGCTCTGGTTATGGTTGTGGATGTGGCAGCTTCCATGGTCTAGGCTGTGGCTTTGGCGGCTATCGCTATGGAGGCCTGGGCTGTGGTGGCTATGGCTATGGCTGTTGGCGCCCATCTTGCTATGGAAGGTATCATTCCTATGGCTTCTACTGATAAAACCATTTGCTCTTACCCTGTCATGGCAACTTGTCCTGCCCTTCTTTGGGCTAATTCCATGGCCTTGTAAGGACATCACATTCTACCTGCATCTATGGCTGGGTGGCATGGAAGAGCTACCACAACAGGGCCTTGGAATGCCTATGGAGCACTCAGAGCAGGGAAGTGGCAGCGACTGAAAATCAGTAGAATATGTTCTTCTGGGATATGATGCAGAATCTCACCTGGCATGAGGGAGACTCCTCCAGTGACAACTCATCTCCAGCAAGTTTGCTCAGCTCTGATATACCACGGCTGAGCCATCTCTTAAAACATTCTAATAAACTTGTTTCACTGCCTTAGCAAAACTATGTTTGCCTCTCCTCATTGACCTCACTCTACTTGTGTCTCAGCTTCTCATCAGGAAGAGATCTTCAGCCTTGAAGTGCTTATCTACATCATTGCAGAAGATTGTCTCTATCATGCGTCTTTTACAATGAGGTGATTCCTCTCTAGATTTGTGTCCAGAAAACATTTTTTCCTTACTAAATGTCTTTCTACAATTTGACTTCTGCAGTGCTTCATTTGAGTATATCATAATACTCAGGGTTCCCTTTCCTGAAAGGAAGAGATTTGTCCCCTATAAGCTTCATCCCTTTCATATGTTCTAGGCACACAGGGACAGGCCTTTTATCTCCAAGATTTCAAAAAGTTTCATATGCTTATGCTGTCATGATCTCCAGATCCAAGATGTCCCTGATTCTGTCAGAATTGACTTAACCTGTTGTCTGGGGCAGCTAAGTGGTGCATTTTATTGATTGTTGGGCCTAGAGTCATCTTCTTGAGTTCAAAACTATACTCAGACAGTAGTTTGCATGACCCTGGGCAAGTAACTTAACCCTATTCACTTCAGTTTCCTCATCTGTCAAATGAGCTGGAGAGAAAAATGACAAACCACTCTGTTATCATTACCAAGAAATCTCTGGATAATCTCACAGTTTACAAATAACTGAACAAAACATCCCTTTAATAGCTTTCTTCCACCATTTTGTTGTCAGCAAGCAATCTCCAGATTTGGAGCACAGGATGGTTTATAGCCAACCACAAAGATTATAGAAGAGAGTCATATTCCAAGTCTGAAGTTTATCATGGCAGCTTGTACCTTTTGTTGGCCCTATCTCCTCAGGTCAACTGCATATTCTGTCCAAAATCAATGCTGACTGCATGCTGAGGCCTCCTGTTCACAGAAATAGAGATTTCATTGTTGCATGGCCATCCAGCAAAACACTCAAAAACCTAAACTCCCTACGAAACTCAAACACCAAGGTAAAGAAAACATCTGCTTTGCAGCTCAGCTTGCTGTCTACAGGCCTTTAGATTCCTCACCTCCATAGGCCAACGTGGCCCATGAAATCATGCCTTTTGTGTGGGTCCTTGGGAAGAAAGCTGAGCCTAGCACATTCTCTTGCACTGAGTGTTTATTGTTTGGTTTTGTTTATTTATTGAACTTGTGTTTTAGACAGTGGAGAAAACCTTACAAGTGCCACTACCATCCTTACCATAAAATACTTTTCTATTACTATATATTACCTCTTGGTATTATTCTGAATTGAGAAAAAAAGCATGTACATTCCTGTATATCCACTGGATTTTAGATTGAAATGCCCTCAACAGCATCACTCTATTTGATTTCTCCTAAAACACAACTCCAGAAGATTTTCCAGTCATTTTCCAGGAGACATTCTATGAGGATCAATTCAATGGGAATAAATATTTCAGGAACAGTGTAATTTCTCTCCTGGACACCTCACATCAGGCGAAGAATATTCCATTCTTTTTAACAAAGACAAAGAATCAGTTTGGGGTGGAGGGGACACATGTCATCTCTGAATCCACATTATCCCCTCTAGGGACAAACAGAAGTGATCTAATACTTATACTATGTGTCAGCTGATGAGACACCCTGAGAATGCTAGGACAAGCCACTGAATGTCTTCTAAAATGAAGAATCTCTGTTTTTTCCAAGTGAGCCTCCTAGCTCTTGAGCTAGTGGCCTTTCAGCCTCGAGGTCTGAGCTCCTCTGAATCTTCTGTAGCTTAACTAAAGACCAGCCATACGCTGAGATGTACAGGGTACAAACAGACCATCACCTCCACTTGCCTTAGCTCTAGGACTTTGTACCTCTTTTCATGCAATCTCAAGGCAACAGTGGGATTTCTAGTTGCCATGAGATATCCTATTGTGCTTCCTTATTCTTGAAAGTGGAGTTGTAAGGGGATTGCAAGGTGGGAGGAGAGATGAGACACCTATTGCTGCCCCAATCTCCTTGAGGTCTGTTTTTTTTTTCCTTTTTTTGTGGTCTCGTGAAGAATTTCTGAGATGCTCCACAATCAGAGAACTGTAGCCTGCCTTCTCTTCTCTTCACTACACTCTTTCAATTGGTGCCATGGGCACAGTTCCCTTCTCTGTGATGTCAATATCCTTCGTCCAGCTCCAAACCAGCATTTTTCTGAAACTAATTTTGTTCAGCTGGCTGTCTGTCCATGTCCACACTGAATGATCCTATGAACCTCACAGAATCAGCACTTGCCAGGAGTTCCATATTACAAAGTCCATGTCTTTACTGAGCACATTAGGCCCTGCTCAAGGTCTCTGGCTACTCTCCCTTCATTGTCTTTGAAAGCTCTGAACATCAGGTTCCTGACCTTTCCCTTTGAGAGAAACTGCTGTCTCCAAAGTTTCCAGTGATACCCTCGTGACCAAAACTAATAACCTGTTCTGAGTCTTCCTTCTTCTTAACCTGCCTTAGAATTCTGACTGCTCTGCCCAACAGGTGCTTCTGGGTGTGCTTGACACTTCTTTTTTGGCCTAACTGTTCCTTCCTGTTGGACTTAGATGGCCCAACAGGTGCTTCTGGGTGTGCTTGACACTTC